GGGATTGTTGGACTATGTCAGATTGTAGTAGCTTATAAAACAAGGATTGTTGTCCAGAAAACAAAAGCTTCACCATGATGGAGATTCGTAAAGCTGGTTTTTGTCTTTTTATTATTTTTTCCATCGTCTACACTTCGTTTGCTTCTGTAACATGCGATGCAACTCATCAAAACGATGACATAGAGAGACTTGATGTTCGCATTGGATTGGTGGTAGACATGAATTCTATGGAAGGACAGTTTGCGACAAGTTCGATTTCCTTGGCCCTCTCTGATTTCTATCAGCTCAACAATTGCTATAGAACAAGAGTCTCTGTCATACCCAGAGACTCTCATGGTGAACCTCTTCAAGCTCTGGCTGCAGGTACATCAATATACCTTTGTGTTCTTGTCTGCATATTCTTTTGCTACTGCATCTTATAGATTATTTTCTTCAGAACAATAAACTCATAGTCAGTGACTCATTGGAGATAACTCAACACAAATAAGTAAAATGTTAGAACATACCTAATGGGTAAATGGTATTATTATCTTTGGTTATTTTATGTGTTATTGCTTAATTGCATCAGTATTACATCACCTGGTGAAAGTTTTTTTTTTTTAATATCTAATTTGATTGGTTGGAGATGTAACTGCTAAAACAGCTACAGATCTCCTGCAAACTGAACAAGTGGAAGCACTTATTGGTGGGCAATCATTGCTCGAAGCAAAAAATTTGGCAGAGCTTGGGGAGAAATCTAAAGTTCCAGTGATTTCTTTCCAAGTGCCTCGCTCGTCGACTTTTACCAAATATAGTTACTTTATACAAGCTACGCATGATACCGCCTCAGAAGCAAAGGGAATTACTGCTTTATTCCGAAGTTTTGTTTGGAGAAGTGTTATTCTTATCTATGAAGATGATGAGGACTGGAGAGAGAGTATGAAACCTTTGGTTAGAAGTTTCCAACGGAACGCAATTCGCATTAAATACAAGGCTGGTTTTTCGGCTTCACCCAGCGAGGAATATATCATGAAGCAGCTAAGGAAGTTTAAGGACTCAAAGGTAACTATTTTTGTTGCACACATTTCTGAACGCATTGCAAATCGTCTCTTTCCATGTGCTCAGAGGTTAGGAATGATGGAGGAAGGGCATGCATGGATCCTTACAGCGAGAAGCATGAATAGTTTTCAGTACACAAACTATTTAGCAAAAGAGGCAATGGAAGGTGTGATTGGTTTCAAGTCTTATGTTCTATTGACTGAGGAGCTTCACAACTTTACTTTGAGATGGAGGAAATCTTTGCTACTCGAAGAAGAAGTTACAAGGATGAGCATTTGTAGCATTTGGGCTCATGATATGGCTTGGAGTCTTGCAAGAGCAGCGGAAATAACAAGGCGGCCAAATTTGCTTGTCCATGATCTACTTGGTGCAATTCTTGAGAGTTCCAAGCTTAAAGGCTTGAGTGGTGAGATCAAATACGTCGACAAAAAGTTAGTCTCAGACAAGTTTGAGATCGTGAATATGATAGGAAGAGGTGAGAGAAGTGTAGGACTCTGGAATTCTGGTAGTTTCATCAACAATAACAGAAGAAGACATTTGTCTTCTATCAACGCATTGGAGACAATCATCTGGCCTGGAGGATCCACTAGAATTCCGAAGGCTCGTTCGTTGAAAGAGAAGAGACATGGTAAAAAGAAGAAGCTGAGAGTTTTGGTGCCAACAGGAAACATAAGTCCGCAACTCCTGGAAGTGAAAACAGATTCTAAAAATGGAGTCACAACTGCTAGAGGATACTGTATTCAAGTTTTTGAGACTGCAATTCGACATATCAATTATGAAGTGGAGTACATACCTTGGTCTGGTGCAACTAATTACAATAGCTACAATGATCTTGTGTACGATTTTTATAGCCAGGTAAATATATATATATATACTGTTGTGACTTATCGTGGTTTGTCATTAGTTGTATATTAATCTTAATCACTGTTTTGTTGCTACCTCCACAGAAAGACAAGTACGACGCACTTGTTGGGGATATCACGATTACTGATAACAGATCTTTATATGTAGATTTTACATTACCCTTCACTGATATGGGTCTCGCAGTTGTGGCTGCCAAAGACAAAAGCATGTGGATTATCTTTAAGCCTTTGACACTCGGTCTTTGGCTAACAATTGCAACTTTCTTTATCTTGACGGGAGCTATAGTTTGGTTGATAGAGCGGCATGATAACGCAAACTTCCAAGGATCTTCTTTCCACCAGATTGGAACACTGCTATGTTTCGGTTTCTCGACCCTTGTCTTTGCTCATAGTAAGTATGGGGAAAAAACACAGAATACACCTTTTTTGATTTCGCATATTACAAGAATTCTAACACTTTTCTTGCTTGGCATTGTTGATATAGGGGAGAAGCTGAAACATAATTTGTCAAAATTTGTGGTTATTGTTTGGGTATTTGCAGTGCTTATATTGACTTCAAATTACACTGCAACATTGACATCAGTGATGACGGTTCAACAGATACGGTTGAAATCAGCAGAAAACATTGGCTTCTTTTCTGACTCTATTGCAGCAAAGGTGGTTTATGATAATCCTGCATTCCAAGGACCGAGATACAAAGGATTGAAGACATATGATGATTATTTTGATGTTTTAAAGAATGGAACTATCTCGTTTATTGTCGAAGAAGTTCCATACGTAAAGCTCTTTGTTGCAAAATACCCTTCAGACGCATACATTGTCAAGACCGAAAGCGTCACCAACGGCTTTGGATTTGTAAATCTACCTACCTCCTCCCTAAAACTTTGCCTCTTTCATAACATTATGTTATATTCTCTTATTTACTTTGCATCCTTCTTTCTCCAGGCCTTCCATAAAGGTTCTCGTTTGGTTCAAAAGGTGTCAAGAGAAATTGCAATGCTAAGGAGAACAGAGAGGCTGCAAGCCATGGAGAATTGGTGGTTCCAAAGACAGACGGCGTCAGTCACAAGCGAGGATACGTCCGATCCTCTTACCGTTTACAAGTTTCGTGGTTTGTTTATGATCACAGGAGTTTCTTTTGCGTTTGCTCTCATTGTTTATCTTATCCCTTGGAACCGAGACCAAAGGCAAGTCGTGCTTAAAGGCTTGCGCCGTTGTGTTCACCATCGATTCGGAAGAGTAATCCATCCTTTGCCCACAACATCTAGCAGCCAAATTGAGAATGTAATCCATGATTAAGCAAGCTATCAAGTTTGGCATGACATTCTTGTATCATGAGTATCAGAGAAATGCTTAAGATCCTGTCTCGTTATATGGTATCAAAACCATCCATAGCTTGAGAAGCTTTTAGACCTTTACCAGTTGTAGTTTTAGTAATGTAAAAGAATGTATTTAAGCAAACATTTAGAATGCATGTAATTAGTAAATTTTATTAATTATTTTTAAATACTAGTGTTATTGGCTATAACATTTGTAAGTGTCTTTTAAAATTCAAAGTGGTTGAAGTAATGATTTGAAAAATACTTTCAAATTATCGAAAAAAATCTTAATATTCATGGTTTTGAGTGATTTTTATGCTGATTTAAGTAATAAATCATAACTAAGTTCTTAAATTCATCAACAAATATTTAATTGAATATATTTAAGATATTTTTACAAAAGCAAAAAAAAAAAAACTACTACTAGATTCGTTTTTCTTCCTCTTGAAAAGGAAAAGATTTCGAAAAGTCAACAACTTAATTTCAGTTGACTCCAATGTGGACCCCAAAAAACGCCTAAAGGATCTGGTTTGTACAAAATTAAGGAGAGAGAGAAAGAGAGTATTTTGTAGTTGCGTCATTACATGGTCTAAAAATCTCTCTTTTAAGACAATCCATCTTTTTCTTGAAGCTAAGCCCCGACCAAAAGCAAAAGCATTGCAGAGTTAAATTCCTCCATGGAAGAGTAAGCTAATTAACC